CTGGACCGATTTCTTTCAACAATACGTCAAAAGATCACAAATCGTAACTAGTTGAAGACATTACCCTTAAAAATTAAAAAATTTCCCCTCGTTCCCCGCAAATGGGGGAAATAGCNACCGCGCAGCAACACCCGCGATAGTTTATGTGTTTTATGGGGTTCTGCAAAAAATGAACATCTGACCAGTGTGATATTACAATCAGGTCAGATCACGGGTCGCTCGCGCCAACCTGAGCACACGTTTTCAATTTAATTTAAGACACGCGAGTCGATGATAAATCGATAACGGCCACGAACCGTTTCGAAACGCGCCGCCATTGGAATCCGCATTTATAACAAACCAAACTGAAATTACGAGTTGCGTAATCTGTCTAAACAATATCACTAGTTGTCCGTGATGATCGTTCTAAAAAAGCTGAGTTCTATCATCATCTTTTTGAGTTCAAACTACGTGAAAAACATTTTAGTTGTTCAAAAACATAATCGCACATTCATTCAAAGTCCGTTAGACATAAAATATATGAAATTGTCTGTAATTTATAAAACAATTACATTGACTTGACTATATTAATTTATGGTTGCAAAAATTGTCAAACTATCTATAAAGTTATGGTGGTACGGGGAATTTTATTCAAAGTAACCGATGGATATTTTGAAAATTTGATTAATTCGACTGCATCCTACATGCACACGAATTACCTACTTATAACAACGTTATCTAGTACATTTAACAAATTATAGTTTATTATGGAACAATTAAACATCGTTAATCAGTGAAAGAGCATCATTGACTAATGATATTTTATAGCAAAAGGCTTACCGTTAGTTATAATGGTTATAATTATCAAGACAATCAAAAGTAGTTGATGCTACCGTGGCTTATTTATTTTTTTATAATGAATACGCGAGATGCATTTATAGACATTCATAAGTCTGTATAGATGTTTGATTAATGATCGGCTAATTGCAGTTGTATACAACCACACAACATATATTTCAATCTGAAATAACAACATTATATTAACGCCTTTGTAGTGCGTGTGGTACGCTATATAGCCTAGAACTATCGTAGTCGTGAATAATTCGATTCATTTAAGGTCAAATTTAGAAGTCCGAGATGGATGATAGTGTTTAATAAGTTTAAACAGAAGCTGTATTCCGAATACGTAGTTTTCAAGAGGTGTGTCAATTTTAGCACTGCAAAATAATAACAACGATATTTTGCCCTTGATATTTTCCTCTCGGATTCACAATTACAACACACTTAAGTTTAACTCGGTGAATGTTTATTACTTATAGAATAAAACATTTTTTTAATTGTATTGTCAGATATTTGTATTATTCACCAACCAAAATTTTATTCAAGGTTAAATAACTCACAGTAATCTACAAAAAAATTACAAAGAGAGATTAAAAAGTCTTGCTTTTAGAATTGTGGCATAAATATATGTATAAATCTATTCATAAATATACTAAGCGTGTCGTCATACGAAATTACTTGAAATATTGTTGTAAGACTAGTTACTATAAATAAAGTTCTTACGGCTCAAAATTATTTGTACTACCTTGAAAAACTTTTTAACTGAGCCTTTATACTTTTGTTCTTTAACACCTTTTGTTATGCTTGATTATTCTCTTTATAAATTGTAAATGATTTTCTTTATGATTCTAGTAAAATCCAGCTAATAATCAATGAAGAACACTCCCACTAAATCATTCTAAGCAACTCTTTAAGCTCCATCAACAATATAGAAATTAACTACCACCAAAGTGACATCTCAACTCACATTAACAATAAACTTAAAGAAGCCGACACTAAACTCGTCACAATTCTATGAATACTCGGCTATTTAGGTATAAAAAGGCAACGGACGTCGATAAACACGCTAAAATTGCAGCTACCGATCCAAATATACCTTTGCTTAGACTTATACCATTCAACGACATAATAACATTTATAAAAAATAATATAATTAAAAAATGGCACAAGGTATGAATCAACGAAACTCGAAGCTAAACCCAATTAAGAAAATTATATTCAAATTTTAATATCAAAATAAAGATACTGTAAATAATGTAACATTGTAACTAATTGCCTTTACTGTCAAAAATGTATGATCAATAAAAAATAATAACTTTATGATTTTGATATTGATTTAAAAATATTTCATTTTGTTTTAATTAACAATATTGGTATAATTATTATTCGATTTCTATATTGATCTGATTTATTATCATTGGTCTTTATCATTTTTTACTTATTAATTTAATTTATATTTATTTAGTTTCAATTGTACTCATTTGAAAATACACTCGTAAAAAAAACCTATGCCCAATTTTCAATTTAAATATTGTGAATTAGGTTTACTTTACAAGTGAAACACTTGTTAGTCGCCTTTTATTGCTGGTGATGACGTTTTTATTTTTTACAATAGACACTTATAGAAAAGATTTGAACATATTTATATGTTCTATTAAATGAATACGTATTTGCATCAACACATAAAATAATTTAATATTGGGGCCATAATTTGGGTCTCTTTTAAAATACTGGATGCGGAGAAGCGTTTGAGACCAAGCTGTCGAAAGCACAGAGTGCAATGTCGCCAATGGAATGTCTTGGATAGCTCTTTTCTGACGTATCCTAAAACCAAGAGTAAATACGTATTCCCAGTTGAAGCATCTAGGATGGGTACAGCTCTTACTGGTGTATGTGCACTCTGCCCGCCCTATATACCCAGTCAATATATCAGAAAGCTAGTAACTTAATAACTATTAATTCTACAATTATAAGGCCGTCATGTTATTTTGTAAGAAAAAGGCTAAAAATGGCTATTTGTAATTTTGTATAAATAAAAATTTGAATTTTTATTTTTTTAGGGATATATTATAAAAAATATGTTTTTAATGTAGTTCAAAATTTACTATGTAAAAATCTGGTGGAACACTATTTACATATTAACACGCATACATATTATTTGAACGATTGTTAACGTATAACGTGTTGTTTCTATATTGTATTATTATATATCGTATTATTACTCACAATTACTTCTCTTCTACTTGTATTGGGCATTAGCCCATTGATAAAATAATAAATGAAAGTCTATTAGGCAATGATGATATTAATAATGGAAAATTAGCAGACAAGAGTGTAGAAAATATAGATATAGCAGTAAAAGTTGAAAATTAAACATGTTCTAATAGTTTTGTATTGATAGATGATATAAATAAGGGAGGCCGGTGTACCATGGACCTGTTATATTATGGTTTTCTTCCATTATATATTATTTCATATGATAAGAACCTATTATTGATACGTATCATATGTTTGTGCGCACTGTAATTATTTGGTTATCTCCATAGTAACGAATTGTTGTGTTATAATTAACACGTTCATTATGTAATAAGTCAATGATTTTATTTTTTCGTTAATTTGACGAGTGGTTGTGACGTGAATACTATTGAAGTTACGAATTTCAACATTTTTAAAAGTCATTTTTCTGTCAAACCATTGCGCAGTAAACGAAAATTTAAAAAAATTGATTAAAAATAAGGAGATTAGGATGGTACATACTTTTAGATTTTCATAAAATATTAAACGCTATATTTGTAATTATTTTTCAATGTGTGTCTTAATTTTTAGTTATGATGCAATCCGGAAAAGTACAAATATTACAGAGTTGCGTTATTTTTGTTTAATCTATTTTTTTGTAGCGTCTACTATGTTAATTATTTTGTTACTCGATACTTTTAACGGTCACAGAATTTTATCTATTTGGACTTATCATTTCTATAATATGAAAAAATTTTCAACGTTCCCCGAGGATAGGAAGATTTACCCAAAAAATTACGAGTGTTATTGATAAAAAATTATAATCCGAATAATAATTTCTATGCAATGGAATTCTTCATAATAGTTATTAAAAATCTACTAGGCGAAATAAACGGAATCCTACCGACTATGCCCAACCGATTGGGCATTGGAAAATTATAGCACAATTTGTTGTAAAATGGGCAAAGTGATACTTGCGCTCCGCCGGAGTTTTCTTAATCTAATTTTCTTTGTATATGCTATACATGTACACGATCGAGTACGATAACGATTCCTGATAGCGACAAGAAAATATCTGTGCGCTTAAACGTCATGATAGTAGTCCTAAGAATAAATATGTTTCAAACGCGTCTTATTTAGCATCTTACGAGCAATGTATGTATTAACCCTATTATAATGCCGTCGAGGTTGTCGTTGGGAAACCCGAGATAATTAGGGTTTCATCTTGATGGCGACAAACACTGGAAACGCAAAGAGAGAAAACGCAGTGCTTATGAAGATTTGCCGACGTCCATTACGGGCAAACGGCGAACGGACGACATCATACCCATACACGGCCGCGGGGACACAGTCGAGTTCTCTAAATAATGAAGTCGTACACTTGGCCATTGTTTCTACTCCTCCGGCTATCGTCCGATAGAAACAAAAAAAAAACGTTGGGCGACTACTCGAGTGACGACTGTGCGTAACGTCTCAATCGCTAGCGTACATGTGGTGACGGTGATTTGTGGGACAGCGGCAACGATCCATCAGAATCTAATGTACATTTATGTGCGCACAGCAGTAGAAGATAATGATAAATACTATCCAATATCGGTAATCGCATTTAATATTTTCTTACGGATTTTGTTTTCATTGTTTTTAATTTATTGCAACATTACCATTTTCTGTCAATGATCGATATGTAATGTAATCATTGGTTTTGCAAAAATATCAACGATAAGTATTTATTTTTTGGATTGGTTGGCAAAGTTAAAATGCTTTCAATTAAAATTCTATTACGCGAGGTCGTACTGGTGTACAGAAATCGATTATTCATTTCTCTTTTTCTTGGTCAAAACTCAAATTTAGATAAAAAAAAAAAATTTTAAACTCATATTAGTCGTGCCTCAATAGCGCGACTTTTTCCAAATAACAGTTTATGATTATATAAGAAGGGTGTACTTCTATAACTTTCATCGGCAGGCGATGCGAGAATTAAAATATTATGCATGTTTTTATTATGCGTCGGCGTTAAGAAATTTTCATTATTGTCCTTGTTACGCTATAATTAATCGTAGTTGTCATCGACATTCCGATACACGGCAACCGTGATTTTCTGCATACTCGTACGCATTTGTATGAGTTAGGTCATCAAGGGACAGCTACATTAAATAACGCAATGCGAGCCTAGGAGAGAATAGGTCACGACTCCTGGGTGAGATCATAAATCATTTCAAAATTCTTGTAATTGAGTCGGTATCTCGGAAACGATATTGACAGAACTGTCACACCGACCTTTTACGCCATTACAGCAATATCCTTGATGCTTATACTTTAGAAAAGTGGTTGTTGCCTCTAGCGAGTTAGACTATGGTAAAAAATTTAACACAACAAATATTCGCAATGGACCGAGACGAATTTGAGAGACAATGTATCGGACATAACTAGAATACGTTTTCGATGTAAAAAAAAACTAGTAATAATAAAGCAAATGGACTAGTGTAATGTACCCCGAAGACGTGAGACGGACACTGTGTAACAGGAGACCAGTAAACGAATACGCGTGACAAGACCCATGGAGTAGATATGTAAGTATCGCGAATTTATTGCCGTCTACTCGTCCCAAAGGCAACGACACCTATGGAATCTTTTTAAATGATTTATCAGATGGATTTCTCGTGGGTTTACTTAAAGCAGGCTATACGTGCACTACAATATGCCTTAAAGCAAATTAATGGAAGTTAAGGGCAAACGACCTGACAAAACATAATACAAAATATACTGTAAAATGATGGCCTGTCTCGCATGAGGAGTTACAGTTCAAATGCTGAATATTTTATTAAATTCTACTTACATAATATAGTAGGCCTAACCTGGGACAGTATAATTATAACACCGGATTCATAATATCGGTCCAAAAGTGAATTCTGCAACGCGGTCAAATCGTCGGTATAAAGTTGAAGACATGGATATGTATGTGAATATTCTAAATAAATAATAAAATAAAAATGTATAAAAGCTTTACAAGTAGCTAGTATAGCTACTACTTAAAAAGAGAATTTTTTTTTTAACTTAAATAAGTTATATAGTGAAATATGTTTTTATACAAATATAATTCTTACGTTGAGAATTAACTGTATATTGTTTATTTCAGAAATAGACTACTCTCATTTTCTACCCTGTATGTGCTCTATAAATTGAAAATTAATCAAAAAACAATTTAAAAAAACCCATTCAGTAGGATCGCAGCACAGCGGGGACGAGTCATAGTAGAAACAAGTATAAATGATATTTGACATGATCACTATCATATAACGCTTCAGTACAAGTCTATAGATAGTGTTAAATTATTAAAAGGATTTATTGAATAAGTAACATGAACTCCTATTTCATTATTTATAATATGATTACAGGTTTCATGATTTATATTTATAATACAAAAATAAATACTTATTATAGTAATTAAATTTAGTTTTGTACTCTAATATCAGTACTATATTAGTATTGGTGTTGTGATTTTTACGGAAAAATTATAAAATGATATACAATTGTTGCGTACAGGATTATTCTTTTAATATTAGCTTCCCAATTTCTTTTAAAACAATAATTATGCTTAGAATATCAATTTTGGAAAAAAATTTTAGTTTCAGATATTCATTGATATTAAATTATTAAGTATTTTTTTTTATTTCATTCCTTATACGTTATAAGAGTGTCAACTTTATTTGTTGAATGACAATATACATATTGAACTAGCTTATATAATAATAATATAAATACAAAATATTGAAGTATAAATAATATACTTAAGTTGTTAATGACATATTATGTTTTTTCTTAAAAAAAAGGCTAGACAAATTTTAGCTTCTACATTTTACATAGAAATGAATTATTTATATTACTTGATTTTTTTATATTTTATCAATTTGATAAAAATAGTCACATAAATAAATAGATTTGTATTTGTGGAAACTGAAAAATTTAGTGTTAAACTTGCATTGACGCAAAGTATTGAATCTTTTAATACATGCATTTTTGATAAATACTCATAAAATAAATATATTTTTTTGTTCTGTTATAATTTTATAACATAAAAAATAAGAAACGATTAC